AATAAAAAAAAAATAAAAAAGTGTCCAAGTGGCACTAATACGCTTCCGTAGTAACCATTATGTACAGCGCTTTAATGCCACTGATAAAAAAAAATTGGATATGCACAATTGTTTCTGCTGTACAACACTTGATTAAAAAAGAATTTACAATTTTTAAACTTTTATTTATTAGAACTAACAAATGACAACAACCTAAATTTGCATTAATCTTACATAGCAATTTATTGGCTGGGCTTAAAACAGAAATTGACAACAAATTTACTACACATTGACAAATTAAAGTGTAACAAGATGTGTTTGTGAAACACTTATGCCCCCGTATGACAACTTATAGCCGAGGTTAAACTTTCTAAAATGCAAATCAAATATGTTGGTACCCAAAGTAAGGTCTTGTACCGAGGAATATACCTGTGAAATATGAAAGCCCTAGCAGCAACCATTGAAAAGATATGGAAAAGGTTAAAGTTTTTCAAAAGTAAGTCACACATCAAGGTCAGGGTCAAAATAATCGATGCCCAAGGAAAGGCCTTCTCACAAGAAATACACATGTGAAATATGAAAGCCCTAGCACCAATCGTTCAAAAGAAATGGCCAAGGTTAAAGTTTTCCAAAAGTAGTTCAAACTCCAATGTCAAGGTCAAAGGGCTATAATTGTTGGTATCTAAAGGAAGGTCTTGTCACAAGGATTGCATATGTGAAGTATGAAAGCCCTAGAACCAACTGTTCAGAAGAAATGACCAAGATTAAAGTTTTCCAAAAGTAGGTCAAACTCCAAGGTCAATAGGCTATAACTGTTGATATCTAAAGGAAGGGCTTGTCACAAGGATAACACATGTGAAAAAATGAAAGCCTTAGCATCAACTGTTCAAAAGTTATGGCCAAGGTTAAAGTATTCCAAAGTAGGTAAAACTCCAAGGTCAATGTCAAAGGGTCAAAGTTGTTGATATCCAAAGGAAGGTCTTTTCACAAGAATGACATATCTAAAGAATGAAAGCCCTAGCACCAACCGTTCAAAATATATGGCCAATGTTAAAGTTTTTCAAAAGTAGGTCAATCGTAGGTCAAGGTCAAAGTTGTTGGTATCCAAAGGAAGGACTTGTCACAAGAATTACACATGTGAAGTATGAAAGCCCTAGCATCAACCGTTCAAAAGTTATGGCCAAGGTTAAAGTTTATCAAAAATAGGTCAACTTCCAAGGTCAAGGTCAAAAGGTCACATATGATGGTACCCAAAGAAAGGTCTTGTCACAAGGAATACACATGTGAAGTATGAAAGCCCTAGCATCAACCGTTCAAAAGTTATGGCCAAGGTTAAAGTTCGAAAAATTTTTGTAAAACTGGATCAAACTCCAAGGTCAAGGTCAAAAGGTCAAATATGATGGTACCCGAAGAAAGGTCTTGTCACAAGAAATACACATGTGAAATATGAAAGCCAAAGCTCCAACCAATCAAAAGTTATGAGCAATGTTAAAGTTTTTGCGGACAAACAGACAAACAGACAGACAGAGAGACGGACGGACACCCCCATCACTATATAACCCCCTGCTTTTCAAGCGGGGGATATAATAAGGCTAAAAATTGGTGCATAGAAATGCCTTAAAACAAGGAAACCAGTATCTGTGTTGATGTGTCATCCAAGGGTATCAAGGGTTGAGAAGAAATTTAAATAGATTTCTTTGGATAATAAATGATTCACAGAGACATATGGCTGCACAACAGTGCAGCAGTCAAATACTGGCGTGAACATCTATAAGTGACATATATATTCTAGAAAATACACAAAAGCGGTAAAACGTTCATATATTCTCTATGATTATAAGAAACTTGACGAACTAACAACTTCCTTTCTACGTATTTTTTCGAGTTAGATGCATATAGATGCTGTAGATGCATACTATAACTTTTAAATGTGTTGTTCTAAAACTATGCATGTAAATACATATTACTCTAGAAATATTTAATCATTATTTCATACAGACATGAATTCTACAGAATTGTGAATTTTAATATGTGAATGACACAAAATGACAATAGTGTTTGAAAATGTAAACATTAACTGTACTGTATCGCACGATGTTTCATTCTGTTCGTATGATATGATTATTACATGAGAAGAATACAATGTAGAATCGTCAAGTAATACATGCATATTGAAAAAAATCTTTTCATTAATTTGTCTGAATCTACATTGGTATAACATACCAATGTACAATGGCTTTGCTGTTCTTGGGAAGAAGATTTTTCAAGAATTTTCCTGTGTATTTCTTTGTAAAAATTTGATTACCAGTTGTGGCCCCACCCTACACCCGGGGGGTCATGATTTGAAAAAAAGCCCTGAATTTTCACCATCTGCGGAAGCTTCCATATAAATATACCTACCGTAATTATGGTTTTGCTGTTCACGCGGAAAAGATTTTTTTTACTTCTTTAATTTCTTACTTAAAACCTTTGATCCCCTATTTCAGCCCCACCCTACCTCCAGGGGGTCATGGTTTGAGCAAAAGTTAAAAAGTGCTGGCTTTGCTGTTCTTGAGAAGATTTTTAAAGATTTTTTTTTTCTATAAATTCCTATCTAAAATTTTGATCCCCGGTTGTGGCCCAGCCCCTTCCCCCAGGTGTGTTGATTTGAACAAACATTAATCTACACTACCTGAGGATGTTTCTGTACTAATATGACTAATCATGGCCTTGTTGTTCTTGAGATGGAGATTTTGAAAGATATTTCCCATATATTCCTATGGAAAACTTTGATCCCCGGTTGTGGTCTCGCCCTATCCCCGGGAATTTGAACTTGAACATTGAACTTGAATCTAAAGCATAATAATGAAGCTTTAACACAAGATTCATTTTTTTCTGGCCCAGTGGTTCTTGAGAAGAAGACTTTTAATAATGCCACCGAATTGTCACGAATTTTTAATTATCTTTCCTTGAAAGAGGGCGTGGCACTCCCTGTGAACAAACGTAAATCGACATCACCCAAGGATGCTTTGTGGCAAGTTTGGTTGAAATTGGCTCAAGTGGTTCTTGAGAACAAGTCGAACATGTGAAAAGTTTACAGACGACAGATGACAGACACCGGACACTCTTCGATCAGAAAAGCTCAGACACTTGAGCTTTCAGCTCTGATGAGTTAAACAGACACGAAAACGTCGATCAAGCACCCTAACTAGCTGAGCATAATTTCCCAAAATAAAACAATAATAGTAATAAAAGCTTTTTTCATCAATAAAACATTATACAAACTTTCATATTTTTACAGACTTGGTTTGATTTTGAGAGAGAAAGAGAGAGAGAGAGAGAGAGAGAGAGAGAGATGGCATATTAGCAAATAATTCATATAATTATATAGGATCTCATTTGATACCCAAACTTCAATAAAACGACTCCATCGGTTCCAGTTGGTGTCAAAAACCTCTTTGTCTCCATTTTTATATCGTATTTATTTTGCTTTCATAAAAAAATAATTTGTTATAATGCAGGTCTAACATTTATTCTTTTTCTGAACATCTCTTTATATAATTTTAGTATTTTACCTACAAGGTCAGCAAGTTTTGCATGTCTTTGATTTTTGTTAAAAAAATCCCAAAATAAAACTTTGCTTTGTGAATGAAATTTGTAACCGAGTCCTATGCTCGTAATATACATGTATTTCAAAGTTACTAAAAAACAATTTCATCAATTTTTGTATAGAAGGGCCAAAATTGAAATATTGCAGGGATTTCTAAATACAGTGTAGTTCAATGAAATCGTATCAAAAGCTTTCTCAACGTCAATCAGTACTAGCAATCCTTGTATATTTTTTCTCCCATGCGTACTGAATAATACTAGTATCATAAATCAAACTGTTTATTTTGAACGAAATTGATGATACCTTTGTAACTTCAATATATTTGTAAGCAGGTAGCCTGTCTCAGTTTAGAAATTGCTCGTACGCCAAACATGGTCTTGTGTATCGAATCAACTAGGAGACATAAACTTCATCACACACAGCTATCACTCTCTTTCCCTGATAAAACATCCAAAATATGAAAAAGATGTGTCAGACTCTGAAGTTTCTTTTATTTCGAGTTGCGTAGGGTATAAAGAATCAACGTAGAAATGAAAACGGTAATTTCTTTTCCTTATTTATACTTTATTCATTAATTTATAAAATCTCGTCGAATATCTTAATGTCAATTTGTAGACCGCAACAAGAGATTTCCTAGTAGACCGCAACAAAAGATTTCCTAGCTTCTTTTCATGTAGAAGTTAAAAAAAAAAACTTAAAAATTTAAAATTCAATAAATTCATCTAGAGAATACAAAAACAGATCTGCTAGTAAAGGGTCGCGATAAGTAAAAATGGGAAACCATTTGACATTTTCACAGAATATCTTACCTCTAAGAATAATAGGAACTCGAGCACCTTTTTAATATCAACTTCAGAATACTTGTATGAAGAGTCAGAATGAGTTTTAGCAAAGGAAGTATATAGATGAGCAAGCACAGGTATGAACATTTCAGAGTTCTATTTCTATTAAGGAAATCGTTCTATAAGATGTCAGAACGTCTGGTCTCTAATTCTTCGTGAGGAATGGTTTGTATGAACTGCTGAAAAGTCGTACGTTTTGATGCTTTTGATTTGGTAATTTTTTTTTATTTTAATTTTTCTGAAAGGTTTCTTTGAGTATTTTAGTATCCACATTTGATTAACACAACTTCTCGAATATGTTGTTGCAGAGTTTTTCCTTCGATTTTGTTAAAATCAACAAGCATGGTCATTTCCCTGGTATCATTTTATTTTAATCTGCATACAACTGTACACTTATTCTATCCCATCGTGGTTAAAATTCAAGAAAGAGAAAAACAATGCTTCTTATTTATAGGTTGCACCATTCCAGGTAAAAAAAAAAAAATGGTCAAATTTAGTAATTCAAATTTAGTCGAGTAATTAAGAGTAAGACACAAATGCGTAAGCAGTTTTTATTCATTTCAACAGGAAGACTTTTATTCAGATACTTTCTATCTGCAGTACGGGAAGGAGGTAGCTGTTACCCCGTAGAAAGTTCCCCTTGCTTCCTTAGTGGCGTTATAACCCCAGGAAACACAGTTAGTCCAGCTACAATTGGACTGAAGGAATTTCTGGAATGTACACTCACAGGCTCTCAGCTTACATTTGTCCGAAAGGGATTCCACGTAGTATCCAATTGCCTTTAAGTGACCACAGGCTTTACTGAACGTCGCTTCTGAAAAGGAAATTTAGGATTTTTTAATATCTAGTATGGTCGGTGCTAACTGTGTTCATGTAATCTTACTTTTTAGATCTGGGATGCTGACAGGTTTTGTTGGGTTATAGATGCACCCAGGTTGACGTCTCCCTCCATTTACGTAGATGTCCAAATGACCACAGGCCTTTTTCATTCCGTAACCTAACACAGGAATAACCAAACAGCCTTAATTATGTAATGAATCTTTGAAATGGCTGGTAACGATTATTCTACATCCGATAATTTGTAATGTCTTTTTCATTCTTTTGTATGAAAAAAGCACATATAACAATGCATCAAATGAATAATTTATGTACATATGTGTGAGGATGAGAATAAGAGAAGAAAACACTCCAAAAAGAATTTCAACAAAGAACAACTTAATTAACTACTGGAAATGTTTAAGTTTCAATTTACAATTTTTAAATATATATTCCACGTACGAGCAATTTTTAAACCAAGGCAGGCTACTGACAAATAAGATGATGATACAAGGGTATCAGCAATTTCGTAAGTCGATCAATTCTGTAAATTTTTTGGTCGATACAATGACCTTGTTTGCAAATATAATCTGTAGTTAGGACAAGCGTTGACTGACATTTTTCATAAAATTGTTAGCCATTATTTTCATACTGAATTGTTTTCTGTTCTCATTTATATGCTCTAATGGACGTCTTGAGCTTAGTTATCTTCACATTTCTTTCGTTTTAAATTAACAACAACGTTTATTATTTTTTTTAAATAATATACTCCGTTCCTAAATAATCGGTTAGATTTTAACTTCTTACCAAATTTTCTTGCATCTGTGTGTATGATATCCACGAACTGGGCAGAGTCTTTGTTAATTCCAAAATTGGTGTTTTCAAAAAGAGGACTAGATGGATCTAAACCTGAGCAAAAATACGTTCGATCAAATATTTACTTAATCCATGCTTTATCTTTCTTAAAATATTTCATTTTTATGATTCAGAACTTTTATCAATTTAGTTATAGCTAGTACATATATACAAAACCTGTTATGCGGCCTATTTTCCCATTGGATAATTTTCCGACCTCTGCTGCGGCATGTGCCCCCAGACCTTGTCCAATGATATACACTTTGTCCAGAGGAATGGAGTTCTGTTTTAGAACTTGGTACACATAAGCCCCAACTGTCTGTACGTTAGAAGCGGCTTGATCATAATCTTCAGTAGTACCTGTCGCCCAATCAACCATCAGGACATTGTAGTTTTTCTATAAAAAGGAATTGTTTACATGGGTATTATTTGAATGTCAAATCCTAGTTCATTACAAATTGAGATTCTTTAAAAATGAACAATAAATGAACAATTTACAGTCAATTTGATAGATTTTTTTTGAATAGCAATTAAAAGATGAAAAGGGTTTTAAAATTACAGAATCTTTATGGGCTGAAAGGAAAGATAAAACGAATTCGGCTTCATTATCAATAAGCGATGCTCTCAGTGTAATTTTATTTGTCAGTTTGGGTCCAAATGCATTATTATCTCATTATATAATACGTATATTGAATTATTATTGTATTATGAATTAATTTCAATACTTATGTATTATGAATTCAATTCAATAATTATGAATTTGATTGCATAACTGAAAGTAATACCGGGATACATGCAATTAAGGGAACAAATGAATTCAATATGGTAGGCTAGTGATAAAAAACCTACCTTTCCTAATCCATGAACTAGATCCTGTATGCCTGGTAATGAAGAGTCCACCAAATATCCATGAATGATTACGGTTATTTCTTTGGTCCGATCAAAAGTAGGTGGGAGGGTCGTGTTTTCAGAAATTTTGTCCACGCCTTCGATCCAAATACTTTTCAGTTTCATTTTCTCGGGTGTCTCCGGCCTTTTACTGAATCGTTTACCCATACACATATTAACGGCCAAGATTGCAAAACACACACTTGAAGCCATCTGCATTGCCACTGTTGATGTCAAAGAATCAAGATAAATACCAAGGATCAAAAGTAATCAACAAAATTTATATAGAAATGCTATCTTTCTTACGATGTTCTTTTCCAGGTTCAAATTGATATTATTTATAATCGAAATACTGTAGATTTCTTATTTTACACAAGTACTTGTCTCACAAAAAATGACTCGCAGATATCAAATTGCGGGAACATGAATTTGCGGGAGAACTGCTGATCAAATAGTTTTTACATGTATTTCAGCAATAGTCAAATAAACGAGCAAATTATTTTGCGAGCTCGAGTGATGCTTCTCTTGAAATAATGCAATGATAAATTTCTTGCGTATATTTAGAATCCACAGAATAGTTAATTCATTTATAGGTTGAACATTTTAAAAAGATATAAACAATGGCTCCTTGAATGAACAAGAAATTCTAATTGCAAAAATCACATAGGTGTCGGAACCGGGGGGCTAGGGGTGGGGGGGGGGCTTAGCCCCTCCCCCCACACTTTTTTTCAAAGATAGACAAAATATAGGCATTGAAAACTGGGGCTTACCCTTTTCCGTTGGTTTAGCCCCCACTTTCAATTAGCCACCCCACTCTCAATTTGCTTCCGACGCCTATGAATCAATTATAAAGAAACACAACCAAAATTGAAAAAAAAAAAATAAAATAAACAACTTAGCACACAGATAAAATCATATTTTCCTTTGCTTTTTTGACAACAATTACCTTCGCTATTGTTCTCTGCAACTTTAAGACCATCTTCTCCCGATCCTGTAATATATTATTTGCTCATACGTTTATTTACCTAAAATGTTTCAGTTACAATTTAAAAATGTGCATTTGAGTTTTTGCTTAAAACGATTTTGTAAGACATTGCTAAGTTATACGTACGTTTACCCACATGGCAGCCTGCAAAAAATACTATTTCAGTTCTAATTGACGTAAATATCACTTCTGAAACTGACATTCATTCACAGTAACATAGAAAAAAAAGTCAAACGTGAAATAAATAAGCATAAACTAGAGCTGTAGTCTCTGAAATAATTATCATGTAACATAAGCGGAGTATGTAAAAATTATATCCTGTTTTGTAAACTGGAAATTCTGAATCCACATTCATCTGAAGCAAAATTGACAGAATTTTGTGTTAGATGTTAAATAGGAACTACCGGTAATCTAAAACCACGTTAAATACGGTTCAGTTACTGTAGTTAAAACAACAGAGATCATGATCAGTCTTGTATTACTTACGATTCCATGACCAACTCCCTTTACAGTTGTATTGGTGAGAATAACAGTTGCAGTTGTTTCCCATGACTTTATTCTCTACGAAGACACGCCATCTATTCTTCATATACCGAGAAAATGCAGTACAATAAATACTATTTCAGATATTGATTAAATGGATCTGTATTCTGAAGCTCATAATTTACATTAAAACATAAGGCCCTTACCGGCTACTTATTCTTTTTGATGTTCCACTGCCCACTGAGTTTTGATAAATATATCGAAGTCGTAAACGTCGTAAAAGAGAACTACAAAGGTTCATTTCATATGACATGTGTTTCAAAGGACCACTTTCCGAAAATTTAAAAAAAAAATGCATGTTCTTACAGCAGGTTGCACTATAATTACATGTAGTTGTCATTTTGTAAGTGTACTTTCCACGATCGAGGACGAAATATGCTCCTTTTTAATTTTCGATATGCTTTGTGATATTCAATAAAGAATCTTTGAAAAGCTAGAGAAATCGTTCAACGCAAACTTTATTTTAAAAAAGTACAAGAAATAATTATGCAAACATCCGAACTGACATTTGAGTGAAAGACGAGATTGATACCAACAGCGCCTATTTGGGTATTTAAAATATGGAAGATCTGTTTTATTTCAAATAATATACAGAATATTGGACTTTTGCGAGAAGCGGTGACTTTTACAGTCGACGGCTTACTATTACATTAGAACAATCTACGGGAACTCTTTTGCGGTATAAGTATTTACCTGAAAAATTAATTAAAAAGTAATAATGGGTAGTTTCAAAGCACATATAACGTTGTCTAGGAAGGAAACTGCAACCACCCATCCTCAAACCTCTCCCTTTCCACCTTGACCAATTTCTGTCAAGTTTTCCTTTCGAAATGTTTTTTTCCTTCCTTATTTAATTCTTCAGCAAATGAGATTGAAAGCAGATACTACCCCTCACGAATAACATATTTTAAGTTATGTTTTTCTGCCTCCCATCATCTCTTGTGTTGATTGTACACCGGTAAATCATGTAAGCGCCCCTAACACCATACCTATAACCACTATTTATGTTTTCTTATCTATTATCAATTCCGTACCTCCGTACATTACACAAGTTTAAATGTCAAAGTCAGCTGTCGACTGTAAAAGTCAGTGCTTCTCGCAAAAGTCCAGTACGGAATAACATGTGCATATTGTATAATCAGTTGCACCTCTAGATCTGTCTAATTTAGAAAAAAAAATTGCGATGTATATAACTAATGAAAATGGTAGGATGCCAATCCAGAATATCAAAGTCCAATTCTCCACTGATATTAATTTGACCGGCAAATCTATTTTCTTCTTACATATGCACTGTACAGCTGTTTTTCTTCTTCTTCTTTTTTTTGTTATAATATGGAGTATAATTTACAATAAGAAAAGAAATGCCTAAAGATATCGTATTTTCTTTGTTTAAGAGATCTTTTTATAATCTTTGCAAATAAATTTTAATATGTATTCTTCATCTTCGGTGTAAGTTATTTAAAAACAAATGCAAAGGATTAACAGTGTTCTTTTATTCTACAGAAGTACATGTTCCTATCTAACAAGGGGATCGCTATAAACGACTGGTAATAGTTTAAACGATAATTAAAACTTCTGACAAAATATAATGGACACAGGATTATCTCCGATTTAAATGTACATGAGCATAACTAACAAAACAAAAAAAGTCACGAAATCCAATCTGAACCAGAGGGTCAGAAGATGACTATTCTAAAAGAAAGGAGACAAATAAACTAAAATGTTTTCTTTGTGCTTATGCTTTTTATTTAATACCTTAAGCACAAAAAGCTCTTAACGTTTCTCTAGCAGTAAAACCATTTAAGATACAAGGAAACCTTGAAGATCTGTTTTAATATTGTGGTTATATTTGAAAGATTCGTAACATAAATCTGCAAAGGAAATGTGTGGTGAGCAGCTATTATTTATCTGTAAGAAGACATGGATAAGTACGAAACAAAGCCGAGTGCTTTTAGAGTCTTACTTTACAATTACCCTGTCAATCTTAGTAAAAACAGGTACTCCTGAAAACCAATTCATAAATATATAGTCGAATTACTTAAGTGAAATTATGCTGATGGTCAACTTTTATAATAGGGAAAAAATGTACCAGTTATTGCCACACGTGAAATATTATATCCCAAGAGCGACATTGATTGATTGATTGATTGTATGTTGTTTTACGTCCCATTCGAGAATTTTTCGCTAATATAAAGACGTCACCATATACCGGTGAAGGGCTTCAATTTTAGACCTTTACTCGGCACTCAAGGCCATTGAGCAATGAGGGATCTTTATCGTGCCAACATCCGAAAGAACTGCAACTTTCACTTGAAAGTGCCGAACACCTGGCGAAGGAACAGTTGCTACCTATTTTTTTATCGTCTTAGGTCAGTCACGGTCGAGATTTGAACTCACGGCCTTCCGATCACGGAGCGAGCGCTCTATAGACTGAGCTACCGTGAGCGACATTGAAATGATATATAAATTTCCATCATTATAATGTGCAATTTTAGATATGATAATGTTAACTTAATTTATAAAGTTTTTCTGTGTAACCATTATTCTTCATGTATTTGTATCGGAGTTTGTCGCTTCACGGTAAACAGGAACCAAACCAGGGCTTCCAAATCACGGAGTGAACGCCCTGCAACTAGGCTACCCTGACCGGTTGGGCAGGTAGACAAATATCTTAAGCTTAAGGTAGTTGTAAAGCAAACAACTTTTAAGCATGTACAAAGAGAGTTCTGTTTAGTTTTGCAACTTGAATTTAAGAAAAATATCCATAATGTATATAAAATTATAACTTTTTATTACCTATACATGGAGGGATGTTTAACACAATTCTGACCTTTTATATAAAAACAAAAGATATAGCAAAATTGTCCGACAGACATAAAAATATCGTATAGCGGTTTTTCTTGGCGGGTGTAATATTTGGTGTTCTGCTTGCTCAAAGGCATGATGAAAAAAAAATGGCGTAATTTATTTCAGCGGACACAGGGTTCAGCACTTTGCAAAAGAGCACTAAGCAAAATACTGAATATTTTAGCGATTAAAATTCTAACGGGCTACTACTAAAGACGCTAAAATAAGCCAAAATTAGCCCCCCGCTAAAATAACCCACTTACGGTAATTATTCTGAAAAGCTCAATTGAAACTACAGCTCATAAAAGAATCCTGAAGGAAAATGCACATTTTCATGCTCTCTTTAAGAACTGAAAATAATGGGCAAATTTTAGGCACTTTAGTTTGAGAGTTTCTCATTTCTTACTTTTTTTGACGGTACACATTCATATGTATTTTTATGGCCTGATATTTTTTTTTTTGGAAAAACCAAATTGATAATTCATTTGGATTAATAAAATATATTTATGCACAATATTTATTTCTTCCAGGTTAAGAACCTCTCTACACAGCATCTTAATTTCAGGGTACCTTTTTACTCAAGCCCTAGAGTTATCTAAAACGAGGTAAGATCTTCTATTTTCTTGATTTAAACACCCAAAACTATAATAATTAGGCTAAGAAAAAAATCTAGAAACAAAAATTAAACTCATTTTGAAAAATTAATGTCAGTAAATTCAAATATATTAAGTGTTAATTGCCGGATTATATTTTATGACGAAGGAATAATGAGTGATGTTCCGCAACCGAAAGAGTATTTATACAGAGATTTAGCGCTTTCATTTGCGTAGGAATCTCA